ACGAATTGTATCAGCTACAATTCGTTACTAAGTAGGCCTAACTACCTTACTGTATACATAGCCTATGCCTGTCGGGACAGGACAGTCAAACTGATCAGCAGTGAATTTTCGCTAGGCCGTTACAATCACTGATAAGGATGACATTGATGCGACTTAATGAGCCCAAATATTAACTTTTTTCTTCCGTCAAATTAAATTCTAAAACATTTTTTTCATTTATTAGAAAAATAAATAAAGACGTACGTTTGAATTGTTTGTAGGTAAAAATCATTTCCTATTAGTGTAAATGGGTATTAAAATAAGTAAAATTCACCATTTAGCCCGAATCAGTAACGTCTTATGTAAACAATGCACGCGCTATTGAGCCAATGATTGACGCCGCGTGATGTGACGTCACGTGTCGAAACAGTCATCTGTAACAGAGATACTAGAAGATCTATGTGAAACAGATTGCAGGACAGTATCGATAAGTATAGAGGAGATACATTTACGGTTACAGTGTTCTAAGGGAGATAATCATTTGGAGTATAAAATGTAGTTGTCTCCCTTATACCACATACTCAGTTGTTAGTCCTCGAATGTCAGATTTAGGTTACTCACATTATCTTTGATCCTTTAACACTTTATCTAGCTTAAAATAAAATTTCTGGGCACAAAATATATGACAATGGATCTAAATAGATTTACGCCAAATTACAAGGACTAAGCCATGAGCTAGACTGTAGTTTAATCTAACTCGCAACAAGAACCCTAAAACAGTCCTACACACAAACCAGGTTTTGGCCAAATCCAGCCCGATAAGGACTATCTGGTGTATATTGTTAACTGTCATTAAAGTAACTGTCGTTAATAATTACTGGAAGCAGTCATATAAGGTGGATATTTGATACCATATCCCTTCTGGTGTTTACAGGAATTTCAACTGTGTGACCCCATAAAGGCTTACTGGGTTCTTATGAAGTAAAATAAGCTATTTATATCTAGATCAGAATTTTATTTAACAGCATTAACAATACATAGAGAAAAATACTACATATACAGTTAAAGTATCTTATTATTTTTATTTAATACATTTATAGAGAGCAAATTTCACCAAAATGTTCAGATGAGTTTAATAATTATAAAGTAAAAATACAATTTTGTGATTAAAAAAGCTAAAAATATGTATAAATTCAATTATGAATTGATCTTCAAAAACTAAGCAAGATTAATTGTATATTAAGTATATTAACATGAAGATCCAGTAGATTGATCAACACTGTAATTATTGAAATATTACCACAGTACTAGAACATGCATTGAACATAATAAACTTACAATTGATATGCACGTAAAAAGGATCCAAAAACGTTGCAGGTTATATGCATTAACTAAATATTCATTATTTTTATTTGGAATAAGATTAAATGATAATGAATTTTGATTTTTGTAATACAGGATTTATTGTATTCTAAAAATAGATATTTCTTTCCATGTACATCTACAAAGAGAATAAGGTAATTCACATAATGAAACCACAGAAAAAAAATACTATTTCATCTCATTTCACTCTAGATCAAAACATGACCGGTATTGAAATTTATTACTTGTAATACATGCCGACATAATACATTTTCAATGTGGTAAGATACCAATTACCATATTAGTTAATTATAAGTCAGTTATATCTCTTAGTCTCCCCAAACTCAGCAGAAAAAGGGGGGGCATGAATCAATCACCTCAAACAATTGTCAGCAACCATATACAACATAAAAAAAGCAATATGTATCCAGTAGTTTTACAATTCTCTGAAATATGAAAAATATCTTTGAAAAACATTATTTTGGGTTCTGGAGGGAATGGACATGTACCATAGATAATTTTTGTTATTTTGGTAACTTTTTTTTAGGCGTAGATGTTAGCTGCCTTTTTCGTCTTTGACCTTTCTGTGGTGTTTCGTTTGTTTTTTTTCGCCTCACCCCTTCATTGCTTTTTAAAATTGAATCTAATGCCATGAAGGCATCCGGTCCAAAGTCATATTCCACTTCTCCAGTAGCTGACTTTTTAAGACATGGCAGCGACATGAAATCCGGTAAATCAGCATTGTGGTCACCAGCAGTTAACAGATAATCAAACTGGAGTTGAATCAGATTGGCTAAGCGGTGAATGGCGGTGGTAGGTGGCATCCAGTTATCCGCGTTACTTAGTTGTAGACCATCGGTTGAACTAATACTTTGCAATTTCTTCTTTCTTTCCCTAGTTATTCTGCGAACATCTTCAGATGTTACACTTTCCGGATTTAGTTTTTTGGGACAGTAAAGATTCTTAATAAATTCCTCAAAGATATCTGGATTAATCTGGATTTGAGTTGTACACTCTATAAGAGAGGAAAGAAAGTGGTCATTGTATACATACATTTTTAATATTTTATCGTGTGATTTCCCTTTTATTTTGGGAATAAAGTCATTGCCACCAAGACAAAGGCCAATGGGTACTTTGATCCCTATCAACTTAGAGTTGAAGGTTTTTTCTAAAGTTTCCAGAATCAGGGTGATATTAAATATGTCATATTTTTTCTGGGGCTTTTGGAGTATAACATACACATCATTTTTGAAATGTCTATTTTCTTCCCTTGGCCAATGTCTGGCAACAGCGAAAAGGTGAATTATGACTGCATCTGTCACCTGACGTTACAAAGCTGACAATAGTATCACCCGACTCGAGTTTGTCTTTGCACCCAATAAGCCAATCCACTTGGGACATTTCTGCTTCGCCCTTCTTTTGGTGAATATCAGTTAGGTTGGTTATCTGGCATCGTGTCTGGTCAGGAGTGAATTGGCAGCGAATGGGAATCGCATACTGATTACAATTGCAAGCGCCTCTACAAATGCAACTAGTTGCCATTTCGCTGTCAATATCTACAGTTATTTCACGTGGCAGTTTTAACTTCTGGATATTTGATGCTAAATAGTTGCTGATCATAGATTTGCCGACATCAGTACCAGTTATTGCATCACGTTGAAAAGTATGTTGATTCAGGATATCATCTGCACTTTTTAAATGCACAACTGATACACCAGGGTTTTTCTTTCTTTGCCGTCTTGTACCGGCCTTGAAATTGTCTGGTGTAAACGAATATTTTTCTTCACACACAATCACTCTCTCCAAAGCAGTCATTTGTTTAATAATTGGACACAGGACTGCATTCTGGACATAGTATAGATATTGGGATCCGGTAACAACTTTGGTCTTAAATTTGACTCCAGCAAATTCAATTGTAACAATCTTTACCCTTTTTGTCAGCCAACCAGGTAATAATTTTGATGCTGTTGTAATACAGTTGTTTATTTCCTGTGGGTTACAAAACTCTAATAGATTTGCCAATGCCAGTTTCATGGAAGAGGATTTCTGTACTTTTGGTTTGCTACAGTCTGGTTTAACAAGAGATTGACACATGTTCATATCAGAGCTCAACCGATCTGTTTGCTTTAGAGCATTTGATAGTAACTTGGATCTTTTGTCTTCTTTCAATTGTCGTTCTGATTTGTGTGCGATTTTCGTTTGCTTTACTACTCGTTTGATGGTAACACTTACATTTTTATTTAAGCGCAATTTCAAATTTATTGGTCCTGAAACATCTTCCAATTTGGGGGAATCTGTAGCAGAGAGTTGAAATAGATTGTCTTTGCATATGAATCGTTGAATAAGATATTTTCCAATTTCCTTTGTATCATCATCTAGGATCTCACGGGACAGCACACCCTTGTCAATGGCATACACATTGCGTGGAATATTGCAGGGGTGTGTTGAGAGTGCATCTTGTCTTAGAATAACCTCTGTGACTCGAAAAATATGTTTCATGTCTGTCTCAGTGAAGTTCCAAGATACACCATAAGAATCACTGTCGCTCTGTTGAACAGCATGAACAGCGTTGAATGAATCAATGAGTGACATTCTTCGTACAGCTGATTCTTGGGAAGATCCAGAGCGGAATCCCTTTAATGCGTCTTTATGGTCCATTTCGCGTTTGGTGTCACATGCAAAGTTTACCTGGCTATTTCCGATAGGAGTAGAGAACAGACATTTTTTCAAATTCTGGTGAAAGATCCCTGCTGTATAATGCTCTGTCAATAAGCGAGTACAATAGGGTGCATAAGAACTAGCTCCATTTAAGAATGAAAACCACAAAGATGACTTTGCCGCTCCCAATAACAGACTGTATCCATTCTCACCACCAAGACGTTCTGCTAGTTTCACAGCTACAACTTCATTACAATGTATCATCATATCATAATGGAGAGCAAAAGTAGCATTTATTTTTCTCATTGTAACCATAAATTCGTCAAACTTATTATTCCATTTCTGGGCTGTCTCAATAGGAGTTTGATTTAGTTCATTCTCAACAAATAACTGTGCATCCGTGCTTGGTAGGTATTGAATAAATTTAAGTGTAAAAGCAAACTGAAGAGATTGAGAGAGCCTTCTAATATGCCGTGTAGCAGTATCAATGTGTTCAGTAGTTATCAATTTTGACCATTCTGTAGTTGTTTCGTCACGCATGACCATCAATAATTCCACCAATCCTGCATAGCGATATGCACTAAACAAAGTATTGACCTTGGATTTTCTGAGATGAAGGAGTGGAAACTCGGGCAAAAATTTCTCATATTTTTTATTTTCCTTAATAAGGGACAGCAAATTAATACCAATTTTATTGTCTGGGCCAAAGAGAATTCTATCGAAAGAAACCGACTCGCTTTCAGTGTTTTTATCCATTCCAGCTTTTACAAGAATATCATCTAAGATTTCTCTTAGCTAATTGATATCATCATCTCTTCCACTTGCTGGGGGTGGATGCCTTGTAAGTAATGGAGGTGTGGTAAATTGGCTTGTGTGTAGGACTGAAAATTGAATCTGACAGAAGAGCACGTTGTTTTGTTTACACGGAGAATCTACCTTGGGCATTGACAAACTTCTGACCAATCAGAAGTCTCTGTATACCGGAAGTGCAGGTGTTTTCGAGCGACGAAAATAAATGGACTCCCGTATTACGAGTTGTGAGTATTTTCTTACGACGATGTTATGATTAGTAAATGAATTTCAGACCCCAAAACATGTCACAGTTTATTTTAGTATTTTGCAAGATAATTGTATGTGTGAATTGTGATGGAATTTCACTTCCCTGGCCTATATCTATCGATCTAGCAATGCCAATGACATATAATAAGTATTAGTAGTAGGCCTATAATTAAAAAAATAGTATTTATTATTAATTTTGTGAGACTATAAAATTAACTTTATAATGTAATATCATATTAATAATAGACTTAGGCTCATTTAATTATAGCAAATCCATGCATGGACCTACTTAATTACATGTAGTCATGTACATGTCATGTACATATAGCCTACCTTTGAGGTAAATTTGATGGGTTGGATGTTTTTGGAGACCATTAATTTCTCTTTACAAACTTATTTAAAGTATGACTACAATAAAATAATGTGTTGTTTAAAGGTTGAGAAATAAGATGGAGACATTAATGACATTGGCCTAAGTGTTTTATCAGGTTTGATCTCACTGTTTGTCCGAGACAACTCAGGATTATTCACTGTTGTTTCCCCCCTTGTCATTGTTGCAGGACTGATGGATTGGATAATAATAACATTGTCTAGTCGTTCCAATTGGATGAAAAACCGATGTCCCTGTTTGCATGCGCACATAAAAGATCTCCTCAGTTGGAATTTGATGAAGACTAGGCAGAATTCTGTTTTCCGGTCGAAACTTCCCTCATAGTACACCTCGGGGCGTACATGCCTGAATCGTAGTACACCGCATGGCATAATGCCCTCATAGTAGGCCTACACGGCATGGCGTACATGTACATGCCCTCATAGTACACAGCAATGGCGAACATGCCCTCATAGTACACTGCAATGGCGAACATGCCCTCATAGTACACTGCAATGGCGTACATGCCCTCATAGTACACTACAATGGCGTACACGCCCTCATAGTACACTGCAATGGCGTACATGCCCTCATAGTACACTGCAATGGCGTACATGCCCTCATAGTACACTGCAATGGCATACATGCCCTCAAAGTACACTGCATCGCATACGCCCGTCTTCATTAGTATGGAACTCAATTTTATTTTATTTCATTTCATACACTTACATGTGATCACTTTTTTTTGCTTGAAACGCAGTAGTATATTGTTGTCGCCCCAGTCTGTACATATATAGGTTGTCCACAATAATTATTCTATATGATTATTTTGAAATTTATACCCACAGTTTATCTTTCGTAATACGAAATAATTGATTTTCAATGACTTCCAATAATTTCTGTCAGAGTTCTGGTCCTTTTGATCTGTGGACGATCATGTGACTAAACTTATCATTCCATACAAAGTTTCTGTTTTCAAAAGATGAAGCCTATTGATTTGTAACTATTTCCAGTACGTTATATACTGTATAATAGTTATTGACTTATTGCTCTTGACCTCTTTCAAAAAACGTCTGGATGCTGAAGATACTATTACGTTAAAAGTTTAAACAATTATAACTTAGCTCAGAAAATAAATTTTTCTATTTTTGATTACCCGGTATCTATTTTTGAACTATTATAGCAATAACGTCCAGCTCTTTATCTAAATTTTATATCATGCTTCTTTAATTAGTATATTATTTAACATAGTCTCAAATTAAATTTCGTCTCATGTTCATTTGTATTATAGACATTGTTAGTCAATGTACCGTAACTAGAATTTATAACTGCATACCGACATATTTAGCCCTGCATACAGTAAGATAATACCTTTATTGATAAGAACTTAATTCATGTTTATGTACAGGTAACTGTAGATTATATACATATATTATTTATTGCGTTGAAACAAGAATTATTATTCGATAGATAAGAAATGAACTGGGGTTTAATGTCCTACTTTTCTGCGCTAACTGATCTATTGAAGCCAGGCTTTTACCACATACAGTGTGCTACGAGGAACATTTTGACCTCAAGGGTTCGTTTATTATGCTTATGTGTATACAGGACTCCGTTTTTTGTGCCATCCGAACAACTAGACCAGGCCTTCAGTCATGCACCACTGACTAGGGTAGATGTCCAATCCTAAGGAACTTTCTCAGCAAGTATCAGAAGCGAATCCATGACCTCAGTTTTTCATTCCATCCAAATGACTAGACACTATCCTTGTCATGCCCTCAGTCGTGTACCACTGACAAGGGTAAACGCAAACCACGCCGGAAAATCATGAGGGACTTTCTCGGCTAAGCGTATCCAAGACCTCCTGGTCAGCAAGCAGCGTCTTACTCACCTCAGCTCCTGAAATGTTATATAAACTATTAAGTAGTCATTTATTAACATGACTAGACTATAAGCAACTGTTGATGCCATCGGAAATCTCCGATATTAAGTAGATTAGAACGTTTCAGCCATATTTTGACTTAATTTAAGAATGAAGAAGTGAGGCTTAGCTTCGAACAACCAGTATGATGGTTACAATCAATGCACACTTCTTGTCAAACCTTCAAAAGCTAATATCTTCGCTTGCAATAAGTAATTTTCAAATTATTCATTTTACATTATCTATTTTCGAACTATTATAGCAAGAATGGCTAGCTCTTTATCTAAATCTTACATAATGTATCTTTAAACTCGCAATAGAGTAACTTGTATGGAATTTTCAACATATTCATTTTACATTATCTGTTGTCGACCTAGGTCTTTATCTGAATTGTACATAATGTATCTTTAAAGGACAATATTGGTGCCAGTCATTATCACATATATGATAGAGCTGGTTAAACACATTTCAAATATAATTTTAACACAGAGATCATTGCTACGATAGCTGAATAATACAGGTTTCCTGAATCGGAAGTGGCGAACGCCAAAGGAAAAAACGAGTCATGCCTCTATATAACTGACTGTTATCACTCGTCACATCAGTCAATTATATAGAGGCATGACTCGTGTTTTCCTTTGGCGTTCTTCACTTCTGATTCAGGAAACCTGTATTACTCAGCTATCGTAGCAATGATCTCTGTGTTAAAAATATATTTGGAACGTGTTTAATTAGTTCTATCACATATGTAATAATGACTGACACCAATATTGTCCTTTAATAAGAGAATTATTAGTAGATTTATATTTTTTTATCTGTTTCAGTGAATAAAGTGTGGATGTACATGTCTACGGAGATACAATCATGACTGATCCAACAAAAGACAATACGATACAGGATATTATAACAACAAAATACAACGATGATCGGTCGGATCATGTCCACGCCGCAGATGATACTTTATCTGGTGATGAAGATTTTCAAGATGCAAGAGAAAACATAGGTAAGATATTCTCTAGATATTTGGGGGGTTGGATGGCCGAATGGTTAGCACGAACGTGCTGTATCATAAGGTCTGTCATTGAGTCAACTGGCGTGGTTTTGAATTCATGTTTGACGTGACAAGGAGGAGGGTCGCCTGTCCAAACTCGTGGGTTTTCTCCGGGTCCACCAGTTTCCTCCCACTGCTAAAGATCCTTACGCGCAATCGAATTATAGAAATAAAAAATTGAACCATGTGTTAGTCCCGAAATGACCTAGTTTGTGTTGAGTGGATGTGAAACCCCATTTCTCTCTCTCTTGATATTTTTTTGGCTCTACATGTTAAAATAGGGTAGTTGTTCAATGCATTATATTTACATAAAATATAGATATGACGTCACCTTTTGAATAATCGTATGGGCAACTTGCCAATCGTACATTAATTATACTAGTGAAATATTGAACTCGTGTGACGTATTTCACTGTGAAAGCACGTGCAGAGTGTCGGTATTTTAAGTCGTTTAATGGTCTTGAGCTTAAGACATTGCGTAATATATTGTAAAATCACTCTCTTGTGGTTACAATATATTACTTAATATCTCGCTCTCAACCATTAAACAAAACAAAGAGATGCTATGAAAACACACCACTGGGTGCCACAGTGGCTCAGTGAGTAAGATGTTGGCTCGCAACCTGGAGGTCTCATGTTCAATCCTTGCATTGGCCGAGAAAGTTCATTAGGATTTTCTGTCTTGGTTCCCTCGTGCCGGGGGGGGGGGGGGGGGGGTTGGATGGCTGAATGGTTAGACTGGCGTGGTTTCGAATCCCCGGTTGTACGTGACAAGGAGTAGGGTCGCCTGTCAAACCTCGTGGGTTTTCTCCGGGTCCTCCGGTTTCCTCCCACTGTTAAAGACCCCTACGCGCAAGCGAATTATTGAAATAAAATTGAACCATATGTTAGTCCCGAAATCACCTAGTTTGTGTCGAGTGGACGTTAAACCCCATTTCTCTCTCTCTCTCTCTCCCCCGTGCCAGTGGTGCAGGATAGAGGGCGTGGCAAGAGATAACATAATATAGTCGTTCAGATGAGACGAAAACCAGAGATCCTGTGTACACATGTACATAAAAGATCCCTTGGCAGCTGTGTAATTCGATATAAGAGTAGGCCGTAGTGTCGTTGTCTAGGCAAAATTTAACTCATAGCACACAGCATGGCGTAAGCCCATCTTCATTAGCCCAGTCGGAGTAGAACATTAGGAATTTAAACACCATTTCATTTACAAATACATGATTTTCACATTTCCAAAGAATTCAGAGAACGCATTGGGAAGACATTTTCTAGATATTTATTAGGCTCTAGCTTTTCATTATAAGAAAAACATGTCAAATAGTAGTCAGGAGTATAAAATATGCCTTTTAAAATGCTATACAGTTCTGTTGAATGTGCGGAGGGTGACATCTGAACACATAGAAAGTTCCATTGCGTTAATTCAAGAAGTTATGAGTATGAGAGATTGTATTAATTCAAGATGGTTTGAGTATCAGAGATTGCGATATTTCAAGAAATTGTGAGTACTAGAGATTGCGATAATTCAAATGTGCATAGGTATCAGAGCCAATGAAAGCAGCATTGCAATTTGAATACGTGAATACCCCATGAATGAATCAAGGGTATAGTGGAGTAGAAAGGAAGGATACCACTAGGGGTACCAAGGCTATGTCTTGTCATAATACAAGTTTCCTACAAGTTTTAAAAAATTAAATAAAAACTCAAGCCTCTACTGCACTGACAAGGAAGTATGGATGGACGGAAAGGGTGATTACAATATACAAACATATACATGTACATAAGAAATGGTGTGTATGATGACACTGAGCAAATGAGTCATTCGTAACCAATATGTCGATCATGTCATTTGGTTTGGATGTATCTTTGAAATACTAATAATGACACAAGGTTATAAATATAAATCTGTTGTGTCTGTCAATTATTGGGTTATAGAAGTGTAAGTTTATATTCCTCTTCAGGAAAGCCCAATACTGTGGGGGAGGGGGGGATGGCCGAATGGTTAGCATGTGCGTTCTGTATCATACATGTAAGGTCTGTCATTGAGTCAACTGGCATGGTTTTGATTCCCCGGCTGTACGTGACAAGGAGTACAATGTAGGGTCATCTCTCCAACCTCGTGGGTTTTCCTCCAACTGCTAAAGACCCCTACGCACAAGTGAATTATTAAAATAAAATTGAACCATGTGTTAGTCCCGAAATGTCCTAGTTTGTATCAAGTGGATGCTAAATTCTCTCCCTCTCTCCCTATCCTGTAGTCACGATTTCAGACATAGGGCTGATATAGGTGCTTAAAGGAGCTACATAAATATCAAGTTCGGCCCAAAGCACAGGAAATTGTGTTTGCATCAGTCAAATTTTGGAAATTCCCTCATACAAACACATTTTTGGAAACTTTTCTTGGTCAATAAAAACTTTAAAAAAAACCCCACTGTCAACAGGACTAATACAAAATAAGTAGCATCATTTAATTCCTTGTTAAAAAACCTTGTTATTATGTAGTTCCCTGTAACAAACAAACAAACAAACAAACAAATCTACCAACACACACAATCTGATTAAAATATAGATCTATGTTTCAATTTTTTTTTATACTTTCAATGGCCTACACTACATGAAGATCTGACCAGTTGTAGTGGAGGGTCGCGCCAGGGGTCATACAAGCGGCCCTATGATGTCAGACATTTGATTAACAAATCAGTGTTGATGTACATGTATCTAGAGAGATACCCACAGTTCCATGCATCACACCATAAAACTAAAATAGTATTCTAGTTCTATGACCACACTCCAAGAACTCACTGTAACAGACCGTTTCATTGGCTAATCCCTCACACTTCACACCAACCAGAACATGGGTTACATGTATATAACAACTCTTCCAGATCCTAGTGTAGTAAAGACAAAAACGAAATTTTAATTTTTTTATGATTTCTGGTGGTAAATACATAATGGTTCGATTCAGTTTGCCTATTGACCTTGGGGTCATAGTTTGAAACAATTCAAACAGGAAAGAAATTCATTCATTATATGAAATTCATATAAGTAGATCTTTCCTCTTTAACTGTCATAATATGGTATTTAATGATTAATTTCTCCGATATTATTAAATATTATTTATAACGTGCTATTACATATTAATTAGTATTTGACGAGTATTATTGGAGTATAACCAGCTCAACTGTCAACATGTACAGATCGAGACATATATCGTCCATCAAACGTTTGTATTTTTATCTTTTTATCTTTTAATATCTCTAAACCTCATTTGAAGGATTTTAATTCTGTTTCTGTTATTGAGAGAGAGAGAGAGAGAGGGGGGAGAGAGAGAGAGAGAGAGTTCATCGTCCACTGACACAAACCAGGTCATTTCGGGACTAACATAGGATTCAATTTTATTTTAATAATTCACTTGCGCGTAGGTCTTTAGCAGTGGAAGGAAACCGGAGGACCCAGAGAAAACCCACAAGGTTGGACAGGCGACCCTACTCCTTGTCACGTACAACCTAGGATTCGAAACCATGCCAGTTGACTCAATGACAGGCCTTACATGTATGATACAGCGCGCACGTGCTAACCATTCGGCCATCCACCCCCTGCCTGTTATTATGAAAGTTGAGCTCTGAAAGGAATAAATCTAAATATGGTTTAATTTGCTAATATTTGCTAAATCGCTTATATTTGCAACCTAGAAATGGACACAAATGGGTCGCAAGGCATGTAATATAAACTGGCCTCAAATTTTTGGATGGGCCTCTTTTTAAACCGTTCAGGTTTTGACTTTGTTTTCTTCGTGGAATGTTAAATAATCAATTTAAGGACAATTTGAATGTGCATGCCAATGTGTACACTGGCTCTCGTTTTTTCGTCCCATCCAAACGACTATACATGTACGTCATCCCAAGGAACCACGCCGGAAAATCCTGATGAAATTTCTAGACCAATTTAGGGATTGAACACAGGTCCTCCATGTTAGCGAGCCAGCATCTTACCCACTTAGCCACTGTGCCTTCTGTCCTGTATTTTAAGCCTTCACTTAAAATAATTTAAACGTAAGACTTAAAAAAATTGTAACTGCCAACTATAGCTTGAAGATATTTGTCAAGAAGTTACTGACATCATGTATACATGTTACCGTGGTGACACTATGGGATTATAACTGGAGGTGTTGTCTGTACGTGGCATTCAACAAATAACAAGTGACAGTTTTATTTTACTGACATAACTCACAGTAGGCTATGTATAGAGAGAGAAAAATTGGGTTTTACATCCACTCAACTCAAACTAGGTCATTTTAGTAGTGAGGTTGGTTGGCCGAATGGTTAATGCGTACATAACTCAGTGTAGGCTTTATATATATAGAGAGAAAAATTGGGTTTAACATCCACTCAACACTAACTAGGTCATCTCAGGGAGAATATGTACATGTAGTGGTAAAATTTTATTTCAATAGGGGTATTGGTTGGCCAAATGGTTAACACATACATAACTCAGTGTATACTTTATATATAGAGATAGAAATTGCGTTTAACGTCCACTCGACACAAACTAAGTCATTTTGGGGATAATATATATTGGTCAAATTTTATTTCAATAGGGGCATTGGGTGGCCGAATGTTTAACACGTGCGCAGTGGATCAGATGGTCTGTCATTGAGTTAAGTGGCGTGGTTTTGATTCCCCGCTTGTACGTGACAAAGAGTAGGGTCACCTGTCCAACATCTTGGGTTTTCTCCAGGTCCTCCAGTTTCCTCCCACTGCTAAAGACCTCTATGCACAATAATTTCTTTAAATAAAATTAAACCATATATGTTAGTCCAGAAATGACCTAGTTTGTGTCGAGTGGATGTTAAATCTCTCTCTCTCTCTCTCTCTCTCTCTCATCAAGACATAGTAGTAGGGCCACACAAATTTAATTTCTAGTTCTTCCTTCAATATCCTAATAATTAAAAACCT